GCTAGAACATTTTAAAATTGCTGTCAATCAATACTGGAATTTGATTCATACCCAGGCTTTGTTGCGGTGTTGCGTGTGGTCCGAATTCTATTCGATTATTGTTTATCCAAAAGCAAAAAAAAAATCGAAAGCTTAGTGTGCATTATGTTGTTTGTAATTTGTCAGTGAATGCCATGTCAAATGTCTAATTTGCCAGTTGTTGTAACAACAGCAAAGACAACAACAACAGCAACATGAACAACAACAATATCAGCGGCAACATCTTTTGTTATTGGTTTCGACCATCTGTTAACCGGTTCTCGATACATCCGCAGGCACATATCGATACATTACATGGCAACATCGGTCGCTCTCTTTCACTCTCTGACTGCTAATTAGCAGTTAACAATTGCAGCATTGACCTCCTCCCATAATAATTCTTCAGCTGTTGCTGTTGCTGTTGCTGTTGATGTAGCTGTTGCTGTTGCAGCAACAAGGTTTTCGCTTTGTTCTATTGTCTCTGAGGCGAGAGATCAAAGCGCAGATACAATAACATGGCAGCAGGTTTACCTTGTTGTAACCTCAAACGGTAAGAAGCAGACGAAGTCAAAGAAACTTGTTGTTGTTGTTGCTGTTGTTGTTGGCTGGCAACATTGTTGCTGAACTGCTGCTGTTGCTGCTGCTGCTGCTGTTGCCATTTGGCTGCAACAGTTGCTGCTGCTGTTGACTTTTTGGCCAACATTGCTTCGCTTTTTATCGTTTGCTGTCTTTTTTTTCACTTTTGGCTTTTTGTTTGATTTTTGCAACTGCAACTTTGGCAATTGCCATAACTGTTGCTGCTGCTCCTGCTGCTGCTGCTGCAGTTGCTGTTGCTGTTGCTGGCCAACACGGCGCGCCGCTTCTATGGCCTATGTGTCTGTATAAACATGATCGTTTTGGCCAATTTCTGTGCGCTGCAACAACAGCAACAACAACGGCAACTGCAACTGCTGTTCGTTCTGCTCCTGCTGCCCGTTAAGCAAGCAGCTGCCGTTGCTGCAACCGCGAAACATGTTGCACAGCAAAAGTTGTTGCTGCCGTTGCAGTTGCCGTTGCCATTGCTGTTGCTGCTGCTGCTGCTGCTATTGCTGTTGCTGTTGTTGATGGGTTGTGTAACAATTGTTTCGCACTGCATTTGAACTCGGGCATAAGGCAAACGGCCTGCATTTAGGAAGTAAATGGAGAGCTGCAAATTGTATATAAGGTTACCTTAAATTTTGTAACTCTCAAATCATGAACTTAAATAAATCACTTATAATAATTATTAAATAAATCACTTATAATAATAATTATTAAATGAAAAGGCTTAAATCACTAAGAAATATAAACTTTTAGTCATTGCTTCATGATGAAAATATAATTTCAATTTTGTAACCAATTAAAATAGAAATTAAAATAATAAATTACATTTTTTGAAATATATAAATTCAAAATCATACTTAGAATACATTTTATATAAAAGTATACATAATTTATAGTAAATAATTACAGAAAATATATACCTAAAATACAAAAAATATATAAAAATATACTAAAAACAAAACACAACTCCATTCAAAATATATACTAAATCAAGAAAACAGCTAATGCGGAAAATATACGAAAAGCAATAACGTGCTATATACTGAATATTTATTGAATATATATCATTTATTGTTAAACATTTCCAATCAAAATAAATCTGATTTGAAGCACATTTCATTAATGAAACTTTATTTCATCTTAAAACTATTTTTTAACATTTTACTATTCTAAAACTGAAATCAAGTAATGCCTATAGCTCACTTAAATTGCTAACTTAGCCATCGAAATAAAGGCATATTGAATTGCTTCCTTTGAGAATGTATTAAAGTTTGGACAGACCTAAAGTGAGCTGTTGCTTGAAGCTGTTGCTACGTTTTGTTCTCAGTTTTGTTGTAAGTTTTGTTTATTTATAACGCTGAAGGTCAGCTAATAAATCGCAGCAGCGCTTATACAGGGAGAAAGAGAGAGGGAGAAAGAGAGAGGGGGAAGCAGAACAACAGCAACAAGAACAAAATTTATGGCCATTAGCCATTTAATTTATGCAAAACAAAAGATGAGGCAGCAGACGCCAGACGGCTGGGGCCAGGCGACGGCTATTGGCAGAACAAGAAATCGATAAAAATCTCATCAAATTAAAGCAAACGATAAAAATTGATTGGACCACGGGCGCAGCTTTGAAAGTCTGAAGAAGCGAGAAAAGAGAGCGAGCTCATAAAAAAAACTACTTTTTTTTTTTTTATTAGAAACTATTCTAACTGTGGGAAGTCAGTCGTTGAGCACAGCTGAAGTTTCTTCTTCTTCTGCTACTATCTGTGTTTTGTTTTTGAATAAACATTAAACGATCTCTGACCCCTCTCTCGCTCTCTCTCTCTGTCTCTTTCTCTGTCGTTCAGTCTAACTTGGTGGCGTCTTTGCGTGTGTCTGGCTCTTTACCTTTACCTATGCCTGATGACTAATCACTCGAAAATTGCCGCCAGCGAGCCAAAGAGCAAGCGAGCGAGTGGTTCAGCGTTTGGGCTCCAGTTTGTTTGGATTTTGCTTTGGTCCTCTTTGGCTGCTTTGCTTGATTTGTTCCACTCCCTGCCCAAACACACACACACACAGAGACATGTATAAATATATCACTCATACACTCATAGAAGCTGAAACGGGTTTCTTCCTGTTTCAGGTTTCTCTTGGGTCTCAGCTTGAGTGACTTTCCACATGACGCATGGCTCATGATGTTTTGGCGCTTAGCTCCTAACTAAAGCACGAGCTGCAGCTGGAACTAGAGCTGGAGCTGGAGTTGGAACTGGAACTGTCGTGGTATAGAGT